CCCGGATCTTGCTCAAAAAAGCCCGGTCTAGATAGGGTTAATCCAGACGAATACTCGTTTTCAAACACGTTCTGGTATGCTGATGGTCAAAGCAAACACTTCTAAGCATAGTCGAGTATGAAAAGTAATCCAGAATGTAGACAGAAACGAAGTATTTCGCGGCCACACTTAATCTACAAAGAGCAAGATGTCAGAAGGCTGTAGTAACAGACGGCACTTACCAAGGTGCACAGACGCTCCAAAGTACTGCACGATGTTTTCACGACGACAAAGGTCCTCACGGCTGCAGTGTCAGTACTGACAGAAACAGAGTAGGGACGAGTTTATATAAGTACTGTGGATGAATAAACCTGTCCGATGGGTTTTACTTAATCACGGAACAAAGAAAATGACCATGTTACATGTATATGTGCCGATTTGCATAGGGAAAATCAGACAACATAATAAGATAAGGGGACAATCAATTGGACAATATGGATAAAGACAACAACATATTACGTTTCCATATTATTGTTAAACCTGAGATCAAAGAGACGGAGACGATTGTCTGCATAAGATATCTATATAAGATATATCAAACACCTCAATCAAAACAGCCAACCATGAATGGAATCAGTGACGTGTAGCTGTAACCTATTTTACAATACAGCATTGGCGTGTAAACAGCGACTTCGGAGCGATTTTGTCTGGCGCGTCTGACAAATAATACCCAATTTCACAAAGAACGTTTGAAGGCTGTCTGTTTATAAAGGGGTTATTCGCGATGAGATTACAACCAACGTACAACGCAAAATGCAAGGTTGCCATAGATTAAAAAAAAACGAATCATACAGCATAGTCAACACTTACTAAGTTTTTACTAAGTTTAAAAATGCATGGTTTACTGGACGGATGTTACCTGACTACTACACTCTTTCACAGCATCTACTACCACTCTTGCACAAAACGTAGACACACATGTGGTTCTTCATACATCTACGTATACGTGGCACAAGGCCTTGGGCATACATGTACATAGATCCATATAGAAAAACAAAAAGTCGACACTTACCACTGACTGCACGATGTTTTCACGACAACACAGGTCCTCACGGCTGCAGAGTTAGTACTGACAGAAACAGAGCGGTCAGGGGCGCGTTTATATACATGTAGGGACTGCGTGGAAGGATAAAACCTGTCTGGTGGGTTCTACTTGATTACGACACAATGGAAAGTATCTTGTTAGATGTGCTGATTTGCAAATGGGGAAATCAGACCCCAAGAAAGAAAACACCCCTAACTTGGAGAATGACTATGAAGATGAAAAACAATAAAGACTACATTACGTGTTTTAATTTATTAGTAAGACTCATTTATTGTCGAAACTAAGATGCAAAAAGCTGATTCATCACCGCTAGCTACATGTATCTGCGAAAAGTAACCAAAAAAAAAATGCTGAGGTACATCTGAATGCAGTTATAACAGACATGCATGCTGCAACTGATCCTAGGATTAAAAGACACAAGATATCAAGGTGTCCTACCATGTTACTATTCTCTCAATACTACACTGCCGCATTTACCCACGGGTTATAGTTCGTATCAACAGGCTACGGAACATGCATCGATGTGATATAAAGTCGCCGCTATTGTTCACTTTACAGTGGAATCATGTAGAGAGTACACATCATTCGAAGTAAAAAGAGACCGAGTTGGAAACTAACAGTAAAGTCTATAATCAATAAAGAAATAACACATTACGTTCCTGAATTTATTGTTGAAAATATCATGTTACATGGCATTGTGCTGATTTGCATAGGGGCGAATCAGACAACATCCCCATGAAAAAGATAAATAATAGAAGACAGCACATTGCGTATTTTGATTTATTGGCGAAACTGAAGTACAGACAGTTGACAAATCTCTAACAGCTACATATGTATCTAACAGAACACAAAACAAACAATATTCTAGTGCACTTATAACTAACATGTATGATGCTAACTAACTCTAGATTTTATATTTTAAGGATCTAGTACACTGTGATTATAGTTACAAGCAGATCAAAGGAAACATAGTTAATTAAAAGCTATAACAGACAGACCATGAACAACGATCCCTTACCGTTTAACTTTGTCACTATTGTCTAACACTCGCATATTACACACAACTTCTAGTTCTAATCAACGAGCTACGGAGCATGCATTAATAATTTTACTAACAGAGGCATGAAGAAAGCAAAACAGTAAATAAGAGGTCGCATTGCTAAAAGAGATCTACAAACATCGCTACTGACTCATATGTTATCACATATAGTAATCCTGACATGGACACTGAAATGTTTGTTTGGGAATGCGTGTCTACTTGGCACTCAGATTACATAATTGCCAAAAGATTTTGATACAGTTTCCAACTGTTTTGCTACATTTTTTCCTGTGTGAGTCTGCATGCGTAACTTCAGAATAAGCATCCCTCTTAACTGCTTTCAGCACTCCTCACATCTCTACGTTTTGTTCTCACCAGTATGAGTGTGCATGTGTTTATCCAGATGGCCCATCCTGCTGAACTGTCTGCCGCACACATCACATCGGAACGGTTTCTCACCAGTGTGAGTTCTCATGTGCTGCTTCAGTCTACCCGGCCTGCTGAACTGTCTGCCACATTCCTCACATCTGTACGGTTTCTCACCAGTATGAGTTCTCATGTGTAACTTCAGATTCTCCAGCCTGCTAAACTGTTTACCGCATTCTTCACATCGGTACGGTTTCTCATCAGTGTGAGTTCGCTTGTGTCTGTTCAGACTAGACGGACCACTAAACTGTCTGTTGCACTCCTTACACTTGAATGGTTTTTCACCGGTGTGGGTTCTGATATGTAACTTCAGTTGACTCAGCTGACAGAACCACCTGCTGCATTCCTCACATTGATACGGTTTCTCACCCGTGTGAATCCGCAGGTGTGTCTTTAGACCTGTCAGATGACGAAACTGCTTGCCGCATTCCTCACACATGTACGGTTTCTCGCCAGTGTGAGTTCTCATGTGTGTCTTCAGACTACCCAGCTCACTGAACCGCTTGCTGCAGTCCTCACACTTGTACGGTTTCTCACCTGTGTGAGTTCTGATATGTGTCTTTAGATCACGCAGTTCAATAAAACACCTGCCGCACTCCTCACACTTATACGGTCTTTCACCTGTGTGAGTCCGCATGTGAATCGTCAGACTGTATGACCGACTGAAGCCTTTATCACATTTCTCACATCTATACGGTTTCTCACCAGTGTGAGTCCACATGTGTTCCTTCAGACTGTCCAGCCTGCTGAACTGTCTGTCGCACTCTTCACACTTGTTTTGTTTTTCACCGGTGTGAGTCCGCATGTGTCTGTACAGATGACTAAGGTCGCTGAATTGCTTGCTGCATTCTTCACAACTGTAAGGTTTTTCACCTGTGTGAGTTCTCATATGCTTCTTCAGATAAGACAGCTGACTGAAGCTTTTGTCGCATTTCTCACATCGATACGGTTTTTCACCTGTGTGAGTCCTCATATGCGTCTTCAGATTAGACAGCTGACTGAAGCTTTTGTCGCATTTCTCACATCGATACGGTTTTTCACCTGTGTGAGTCCGCAAGTGTCTCCTCATAGTACCTCGGTCATGAAACTCGTTACCGCACTCGCCACACGTGTGGGAATTCTGGGCCCCATGTCCATTCTCTCCCTCCTCTTGTTTCTGATAAGATTCAGCCCTGGTCGCCATGTTAATCAAATCTATAGGAATGATGTAAATTTTTAATTCAATATATCAGATCGATGGAATTGACATTAGTGTATATTGCATAGCGTTTATACTGACAAATGCATGTAAATGTTATCCTAACAGTTTTGATTCCGACGAAACTTCCCTGTACATAGGCCAGTATATATCCAACGCTTTAGTTAAAAGGAACCAGTGAAGTCATGAAATGACGTAGATGTCATACGTATTTAAGCTATCTGCCATCTTGCATCACCAATCTTGAATTTTGGAAAATAATTGTTTTCAAGATAAAACCTAAAATACATTGAAAATAGACTCTAATGGTCAAACACTTTTTAAGCATAGATAAGGCTGTAGTCACAGACAAATAAAGAAAGAAAAAAAATTATAATCGGCACTTACCAAGATGCACAGACGCTCCAAAGTACTGCACGATGTTTTCACAGATCCTCACGGCTGCAGAGTCAGTACTGACAGAAACAGAGCAGTCAGGGACGCGTTTATAGGAACTGAGAGGGCGAATAAAACCGGTCCGGTGGGTTTTACTTGATTTCCAAACAAAGAAAATTACCATGTTACATGTGCGCTGATTTGCATAGGGAAAATAAGACAACATAATTAGATAAGAGGACAATCAATTGGAAAATATGGATAAAGACAACAACAACATATTACGTTTTCATATTATTATCAAACTGAGATCAAAGGGACAGGGACGATTGTCTGCATACGATAGGGCTGTTTCGTTCAGCAGACTGTCTAATATTATGTAATGAAAAATACATACATTGGCCAACTATAGTTTGAAAATATATCAAACACCTCAATCAACACAGCCAACCATGGATGGAATCAGTGACTTGTAGCTGAAACCTATTTTACAATACAACATTGACCTTTAAACAGCGATTTAAGAGAGATTTTGTCTGGTGTGTCTGACAAATAACACCCAATTTCACAAAGAACGCTCGAAGGCTGTTTGCTTCGAATTTCTAAGATTACGTAAGTCTACATTCTCAGTCGCCATTTATCATGTTACACATGATTGACCCAAAGGCTTCCAGGATTTTACCCCACTGCTAATGATAGCGAATGAAAGACAACAACACATATTACTTGTTTTGAATTTATTGTTGAAATTGATAAATACTCCACATTTCTCAGTTTACACTCGACTTTTAGTTCCATCAAGGAGATATAACACCCTTTTTGTTATCAACAGTTACTCGCATCACATCTTATTTTAAGTAAAAATCTGATACCGCGACACAGCGAGTGTAGGTGGTGGACAAATGTCTTACCTTTCTTTCAAAACTGCCCAGTATAAGTAGTAAGATGGAAATTGGAATGAACATAATTTTTTTCTAAGGAAAAACCCTTATTGTACGTTTGTGCTCTAACAAGCTAAGTACAGGTCATGAATAAACAGGGAAAAATTCTTTGTTGCAGAGGAATGTGGTTGTGTCTACCCTTTTTAACAAGAAGTTTGTGTGAGCTAACCTGAAGTCTTGTAGTGGTTATTCCAGCTGCGTCGTATGTTTGTTAACTTTAAATTATTCCCTGGCTGGAATTGACTCACTTTATTTCCGCTAGAGAATTTATTTTACGCATGCTGACCCGAACGCAGTGTCTGACGGGATAGAATGTTCAGAAATTTGTTCATTGTTTTGAGATGGCCGCGGACTTCAGAAATTTGTTTACTTTATCGATTTCTTTAATTATAAGCCAAGGAGTTGTGACCTATCAAGCGACAGATTTACTTGTTTGATTTTCTATCGTTTCGGTACTGATTCTGAACGTTACAGACAGTTTCTGAAGGATTACACGTACTATTTGTTTATGTTTCGGCGTAACTGTTTGTTACGCAGTCATTTTTAGTAAGCCGTTCGCAAGGAATTCTAAGTTATCCATCGATCAAAAATCTTTATTGTTAAGTCACAAAGATGAATTTGTACATCGATTTCATCACGTAATGTTAATGCTGAGTGGAGCCGGCGAACACGAGCTGCTTGGAGAACACAAAACAAACAATATTCTAGTGCACTTATAACTAACATGCATGATGCTAACTAACTCTAGATTTTATATTTTAAGGATCTAGTACACTGTGATTATAGTTACAAGCAGATCAAGGGAAACATAGTTAATTAAAAGCTATAACAGACATACCATGAACAACGATCCCTTAACGTTTAACTTTGTCACTATTGTCTAACACTCGCATATTACACACAACTTCTAGTTCTAATCAACGAGCTACGGAGCATGCATTAATAATTTTACAACAGAGGCATGAAGAAAGCAAAACAGTAAATAAGAGGTCGCATTGCTAAAAGAGATCTACAAACATCGCTACTGACTCATATGTTATCACATATAGTAATCCTGACATGGACACTGAAATGTTTGTTTGGGAATGCGTGTCTACTTGGCACTCAGATTACATAATTGCCAAAAGATTTTGATACAGTTTCCAACTGCTTTGCTACAAGTTTACCTGTGTGAGTCTGAATGCGTGACTTCAGAATAAGCATCCCTCTTAACTGCTTTCAGCACTTCTCACATCTGTACGTTTTTTCTCACCAGTATGAGTGCGCATGTGTTGTTTCAGAGAATCCATCCTGCTGAACTGTCTGCTGCACTCCTCACATCGGCACGGTTTCTCACCAGTGTGAGTTCGAAGGTGCCTTTTAAGATCACCCAGCCCAACAAAGCACTTCTCGCACTCATCACACCTGTACGGTTTCTCACCAGTGTGAGTTCTCATGTGTGTCTTCAGATTACACATCTTACCGAATCGCTTGCCGCACTCCTCACACATGTACGGTTTCTCACCTGTGTGAGTTCTGATATGTGTGTTTAGATCACCCAGCCCAACAAAACACCTCCCGCACTCATCACATCTGTACGGTTTCTCACCAGTGTGAGTTCTCATGTGCCGCTTCAGACCCTCCAGACTACTGAACTGCCTACCACATTCCTCACATCTGTACGGTTTCTCACCAGTATGAGTTCTCATGTGTAACTTCAGACTCTCCAGCCTGCTGAACTGTCTACCGCATTCTTCACATCGGTACGGTTTCTCATCAGTGTGAGTCTGCTTGTGTCTGTTCAGACTAGACGGACCACTAAACTGCCTGTTGCACTCCTTACACCTGTAGGGTTTTCACCGGTGTGGGTTCTGATATGTAACTTCAGTTGACTCAGCTGACCGAACCACCTGCTGCATTCCTCACATTGATATGGTTTCTCACCCGTGTGAGTCCGCATGTGAGTCGTTAGACTGCTAGACTGTCTGAAGCTTTTGTGACATTTCTCACACCTGTACGGTTTCTCGCTAGTGTGAGTTCTCATGTGTGTCTTCAGATAACTTAGCCTACCGAACTGCTTGCCGCACTCCTCACACCTGTACGGTTTCTCATCTGTGTGAGTTCTGATATGTTTCTTTAGATCACCCAGTTCAACAAAACACCTACCGCACTCCTCACACTTATACGGTCTCTCACCCGTGTGAGTCCGCATGTGAGTCCTTAGACTGCTAGACTGTCTGAAGCTTTTGTCACATTTCTCACACCTGTACGGTTTCGCACCAGTGTGAGTTCTCATGTGTACCTTCAGACTATCCAGCCTGCTGAACTGTCTGCCGCAGTCTTCACACTTGTGCTGTTTTTCACCGGTGTGAGTCCGTATGTGTCTGTTCAGCTGACTAAGGTCGCTGAATTGCTTGCTGCATTCTTCACAACTGTAAGGTTTTTCACCTGTATGAGTCCTTATATGTGTCTTCAGATTACACAGTTTACTAAAGCTTTTGTCACATTTCTCACATCGATACGGTTTTTCACCTGTATGAGTCCTTATATGTGTCTTAAGATTGCACAGTTTACTAAAGCTTTTGTCACATTTCTCACATCGAAAAAGTTTTTCACTTGTCAGGTGTCTCATCATAGTACTTCGGTCATGAAACTCGTTACCGCGCTCGCCACACTTTTGGGAATTCTGAGCCCCATGTCCATTCTCTCCCTCCTCTTGTGTCTGACAGGATTCAGCCCTGGTCGCCATGTTGGTCAAACCTACAGGAATAAATTTTAAAGTCAACATATGAGGTCAATGGAATTGACATTTGTGTATGGTTTGGAGCAGAGCAGAGCTAGTACAGAGAACATTGTAACAAAGGTAAGTAGAAATGCGGACGGCATGAATGGAGTTCTATGTCGAAGGATTTACAGAAAGTAAAAAAATCTAAATCTAGTTTAATGCAGACGAATACTCTTAAACACATATTTTGATAGGTTAATGGTCAAAGCGAACACTTTTAAGCATAGACGAGTATGAAAAGTAATTCAGAACGTAGACAGGAACGAAGTTTTTCGCGGCCAGGATTAACCTACAACGACCAAAATGTCAGGAGGCTGTAATCACAGACAAATAAAGACAAAAACAAAATCATAGTCGACACTTACCAAGGTGCACAGACGCTCCAAAGTACTGCACGATGTGTTCTCGACGATACAGATCCTCACGGCTGCAGAGTCTGTACTGACAGAAACAGAGCAGTCGGGGACGAGTTTATATAAGTACTGTGGGTGAATAAACCTGTCCGATGGGTTTTACTTGATTACGGAACAAAGGAAATTACCATGTTATATGTGCCGATTTGCATAGGGAAAATCAGACAACATAATTAGATAATGGATAAAGACGACAACAACATATTACGTTTCCATATTATTGTTAAAACTGAGATGACGGAGACGATTGTCTGCATACGATAGGGCTGTTTCGTTTCAGCAGACTGTCTAATCTTATGTATTTAAAAGTACATACATTTGCCAAGGAGGTTTAAACTCTTTTTAAACTCCATGCATTGGCCAACTATAGTTTGAAAATATATCAAACACCTCAATCAACACAGCAAACCATGAATGGAATCAGTGACGTGTAGCTGTAACCTATTTTAGAATACAACATTGGCGTTTAAACAGCGACTTAAGCGAGATTTTGTCTGGCGCGTGTGACAAATAATACCCCATTTGATAAAGAACGCTCGAAGGCTGTCTGCTAATAAAGGGGTTATTCGCGATGAGATTATAACCAACGTACAACGTTACATGCAAGGTTGCTATAGATAAAAAAAAACGAATCATACAGCATAGTCAACACTTACTAATTTTTTACTAAGTTTAAAAATGCATGGTTTACTGGACGGATGTTACCTGACTGAAGTATCTACTCGACTCTTGCACAAAACGTAGACACACATGTGGTTCTTCATTCATCTACAATGTGCCACAAGGCCTTGGGCATACATAGATTCATACAGAAAAACAAAATGTCTGCACTTACCACTGACGCTAAGTACTGCACGATGTTTTCACGACGACACAGATCCTCACGGCTGCAGAGTCAGTACTGACAGGAACAGAGCAGTCAGGGACGCGTTTATATAGGGACTGAGTGGGGAGGGGATGGTAAAACTGGTCCGATGGGTTCTACTTGATTACGACAC